TTTTTCTGTATATATGTTAGACTTTGTTCAATAAACGCATTTAAAATGTCGAGTCCTGATTCCATTTCTTGCAGGATCCAGTCCCTACAGATACCACTACCGAGGTGTTTGTGCTCCGAAGGCAACTGGCAAAGAACAGAGAGGTTGGTTAAGGAGGGAGAAACCCAAGATTTTCTGCAGATGTTGAAAAGTTTTCAACCAAAATTAACATCAATTCTTGATTTTTTAAAAGCTGAAGCTATCTTTAAAAGGCTGTATAGGCAGCCGGGCATGGTGGCACGCGCCTGTAATACCAGGTACTCAGGAGGCTGAGCAAAGAGAAGTCAAATCATCAAACCAAATTATCAGGTTAATTATGCTTTTGAAGACACCAGAGACAAGAAGAAAGTGATGGGGAGGCTGAGGAGCTCTCAAGTGGTGGCAGAACCTGGCCTCCTCCGACCCTCTTCCCACCTTCATGGGGAAGTTTCCGCCCTTTCCTGGTCCACGCCTTTCTGGGTAGCCCTGAGAGACCGATGGCTTAAAACAGGCCCTTCATCCTGTCTCTCTGCCTCAAGCCTTCCTTGTGTTCCCACGCACCAACATCCTCCTGCACAAGGGTGGCCAGGCCTGCCACAGGTGAGGAGCTGCCTTCAGCGGCCCTGCCTCCCTCACCTCCTTTCCACCCATCCAGCCCATGATGCCTCCACCCCACCTCTGCCCTGAGCTGTCCTCCAAAACCAAGCCCCGACATAGCTGCCATCTGACCAAGGAAAGGCAGAGAACTGCAGAGGAAATGACCCCCAGCCCAGTACAGCGTTTACTTCTCCAATCAATGGTCATCAGGTGGGCGCGTGTCCTGCCTCCAGACCACAGCATGCCACAGAATTTCAACTTCTTCCACGACAGGTCCTCTCCACACTGCCCTTGTTTGTGTGTTTGTTTTGTTTTGTTTTGTTTTGTTTTTTAACTAAGTCAATCTGTCACCTGTCAAAATTCCTCTTCCTGGGCCGGGGAATTTAGCTCAGTGGTTTTGCTGCCTGCTGCGCAAGCACAAGGACCTGAGTTCGATCCCCAGTACCAAAAAAAAAAAATTCCTCTTCCTGCTTATATCTATCCCATCCTGCAGTGATGTTGCATATTGGGCCTGCCCCCTGGCAACAGCCTACCTTCGCAGTGTAGATCCATGCACAGATGTGACAATATTGTCCTCACCCAGGTCACGAGCACAGAAGGGGTGAAGGGAATCAAGATGCATTTAGGTCCTGGGCACTGTGCTAGGTGTGAGGCAAGCACTCAGAAGGAAGCACAGTCCTGCAGCTCCTGGGAGCCCAGCAAAGCATGTGCTCAGCAAGGCCTGTATTGGATGACAGCTAAAACAGGCCGTGGGGACCCACAGTTGAGAAATAAGAGTGGGCAACCTGTGGAGGGAGATGACACTTTTTCCACAAACAATAATGTACTAACAATATAAAAAGTGAAAGTAGGTGTAGGCCCTAATCCAGTGAGTCTGCCACTAAGAGAAATAAGGCCAGCAGAGGAACATGCAAGAGCGCTCACAGCAAGAATACTTATCAGTAGCTGGGCATAGTGGCTCGCACCTGTAATCCCAGCGCTCGGGAGGCTGAAGCAAGCAGATCACCATGAGTTTGAGACCAGCCTGGGATACACAGTGAGACCCTACCTCAAAACAAACAAAATACTATTCATCTGAGCTCAAACCAGAAACCACCCAAGAGCCTTCCAGAGGGAATGGATAAGAGAATTGCAGAATAGTCTCGCAGTGACATGAAAACTCCACAACCTCACATCATGTGGGTGAGCCTCCCAGATGTAGTGTGACCAAGAGATTATGTTCTGTATTATCCACTGATGTCACATACAAACACACGCAAGCCCATCTATGGCATGGAGGCAGGGACAGCGCTTAGTGCAGAAAGGGCAGTGACCTGAGGGGGTCATGAGGACACTTGGAGGGTGCTGTGATGCTCAGAGCCTTAATCTAAGTGCAGGACACATACCTGTGTTCACTTTGTGGAAATTATAATGCTGCACCCTTGGAAATGTGCACCTTTCTATGTGGCTATCAGACTTTAAGACCAAAATGATCACATCAATTCTCTTAGTCCAATGGGGATCCTATAACAAAATATCATAGACTGGTGACTTAGAAATAATGCAAATTTATTCCTCACAGTTCTGGAAGCTACAAAGTACAAGGACAAGGGGCTGGCGGCCTCCATGCCTGTGAGGGCTGCTTCCTGCTCACAGAGTCACTGTGCTTGTGTGGCAGAAAGGACAAGAGAGCTCTTTCAGGGCTCTCTTATGGGAGCACTAACTCCAATCCCTGGGCCCCACTCCCAGGCCCTAACACCTGCCACAGGCCCCTCTTACTATTACCATTACCTTGGGGTGGAGTTTGACAGGACACAGATGGTGGAGCCCTAGCAGCTGCCAGCTGTCTAACGGGGACTATTCTCCAAGTTGATTTCATTCTTTCTCTATCACTGGGCCCTGAGATCCTTTAGCAATGGAACCTAACACATGCATCTTATGCTCCTCCTTCCATGGCCACAAGCCTGGGATCTCCCCACAGGAGGCCTCTCTGGATACAGTTTGTCCCACACCGTAGGTGGTGCCCTAGCATCACTGTGTTGACGTGTGCATGCTCTTATTTGGATCCAGGATCTAGTAACACAGAGGAATCCATAAAACAAGGAGACTTTTATGCATCTAGGAATTCAGCCTTTCTCCGGTGCTTCTTTTTCAATCTGCATAATTTTCTGATGCTCACACATTTGAAATATGTCATAGCCTCTGCAGCATGGCACACCCAGCCCTATGGCATCTTTCTGGCCTTCCTGTTCTATCAAGAGGACCCACGCACCAGGACTCCCCTCCTCAGATGGTCAGTGCCAGAAGGTGCCAACCCCTCGCCCTGTCTTCCTGCTTACATGAAGCAGCACATATCCCCACCCTTATCCCTGGCCTCTGCTCACCCTTGAAGGCTGGGAGCAGCTCTGCATGCATGTGCTAAACAGTCACTGGCCCTGCCGGCCCTGCCGGCCCTGCCAGCCCTCCCACCTCCATTTTCTGTTCTCCTCATGCCTCCGGACCTTGCAGAACAGCCCTTTGTTCAGTGGCAAGAGGAATCTGCAGCTTCATCAGCTCTGACCCAACCTCTTACCCAGTCCTCTGCGCAAAGCCTGGGAAGGAAATAGAACTCACCAGTGAGAGGCTGGAAATAAGGTGTCCTGGGCGGAGGGCAGGGTGGACAGTACAGAGTGCAAGATGGACCGGCCCGCCAGGCTGTGACCTTGTATCTACCTGGAGAGTGACCTCCCAGTGCCAAGGAGCTGGACTAGACGATTCTGGGTCCTCTCCCAGCTCTGAACACGCCAAAGCCTGATTAGCCTGCGTTCCACTGAACAATGTCCTTGCCTCTGGGTAGTGAAATATTAGATGTTTTTCTCTTCTTCTTTTTTTTTTTTTTTTTGGTACCGGGCATTGAACTCGGGACCTTGGGCTTGTGCAGCAGGTGCCGGAACCACTGAGCTAAATCTCTGGACCTCTCTTCTTCATTTTGCAAATAATCCATACTGTAATCCATAGTGTAACCTTAATTACACTGTTGATCTGTTTGTGTTTTGTGTGATTACAAGCACAAAAAGTTTGTGACTCTAAAAATATAGGGCCAGCCATGGTGTGCACACCTGTAATCCCAGCACTCAGAAGGCTGAAGCAGGGGAGAAGAATTGTGAGTTTGAAAACAGCAAGACCCTGTCAAAAGAAAGAAAGAAGGAAAGAAGAAAGAAAGAAAAAATAGAAACATGTTTTTTAAAAGAGGGAAATAAAACAGCTCCGTGCGGTTGTTCATGTCTGTAATTTCAGCACCCAGGAGGCTGAGGCAGGCCAATCATCACAAGTTTGAAACCAGCCTGGGCTATGCAGTAAGTTTAAAGCCAGCCTGAAGTACATAGCAAGACCCTGTCTCAAAAGAAAAAGAGAGAGAGAAGGAAATAAAACAGTTTTTTAAAAATAAAAGCATAGGAGAAAGAAGGCCAAGCTAGAGACCTCAAACCCAGGCAGAGAGCTCTGCATCTCGGCAGATGCACTCTTGGCTGTGGGGTTTTCCCCGCCTCCTGGCTACCATCATTGTGAACTCTTCTGGCGCCACCTGCTGGTAATTTCAGAAACAGCCGCTGAATTTGGTTTGCAAAAGAGTTTTGAAAGCAATTAGTACTGACCGGTGGTGCGGTCACACTCTGGATAAAGATTGGGTTATAGTTTCAGGCACATCTTACCCTATTCCCACCTCCAGAATTCACTTTTGATTTTGCTTGTAGTAAGGACCATAGCAGGGAGGTCTGAACCAGTCCCTAGATGGTCACACAGTAACTATGAGGCTGGAGCCATGTGAAGCCCAGGAATGGTCCCAGCTCCCCTCCCCACGGTGTGGAACATCACAGAGAGGGGAAGAGACCCCTAGGAGCCCACTGTCTGCCCCACCCGCTGCCTGGTGTCCTCTGGCTCTGGCTCTGGCTCTGCTTCCTGGTCCTGTAGATCTGTAAGTCCTCTCACGAGGCCCAGGGCAGCCTACAGCGCTCACCCCCTCAGTAGCCCTGCTTTCCCTCCTGCCCAGGGATGTGAGGCCCCTCTCCCCGACTGCGGGTCCCCCTGCAGGGCATGGCGGGCCAGGTGCATGCTCCCATCTTTCCGAGCTGACCCTTCCCCCGGGGGCTGCCGGGAGCGGCCCCTCTGCTGTGGGAGTCTGCTGGTTAGGAACAGGACGGTAGCTGTGCCTAGCCAGGCTTTCTGAGCCCCTCTGCGGTGGTCACTGAAAGCTTTTTCCAATTTTCTCAGGCTTTTCTGAACATCTAGATCCTCACATGGTTTGTATCAGTCCAGAGTGAGAAGGCCGGTCCTTCTCAGGATGAAGGAGGGGCCAGGAGTCCCTGATTGGTCCTTCGGGAAGGGCAGGGCTGCAGGGAAGCCTCCTTCCCCCGCACTGCTATATAGCTGGGCTGGCCTGGCTGCTGAGGCTGGGCTGCAGGGCCGCACAGCTTGTACTCCAGGGCACTCCCAGCCAGAGGACAGCCAGGTAGGTGGGGAAGCTGTTTCTAATCAGGTCTCCACCGCAGACTGAAACCGTGCAGTGACTGCTTTAGGCCCGGGACGGGTCTCCAGCGCGGGAACTTGTGACCATGCTTATGTAGGCTGGTTTTGCGTGGCTATGCTTTGATGCTGTGATTCAGTGCTAGTTTAAGGTTGGCTGCTTGGGAATTTATTCTGCTTTTTAAGCCCATGCCGGTACAAACTGAGTTCTTTCTCAAGAACTTTGTGCTTTTATTTTCTTTTAATTTGACTCATCAAGTCCTATTATGTTAGTACTGTCATTTAAGATTTCTCCTACTGAGAGATATGGGCTGGTGACATGAGTGTGGGCCTCTCTTTAGGAGACTGCAGAGAGCTTGGTCTTTGGAGAAAGCTGGTCTGAGCACGCTGTGATTAGGGGCAGAGCGGAGTGGGTACAAGAGGCTGGGTGCTCATGCCCCCCTGGGAGCAGAGACCAGGCAGTGCCCAGAAGCACGGGCAGGTGAGCAGAGGCTCTTTGCAGCCTTGCAGAGCTGACTAGATGCCCCTTGTGCTGTTTGTCCCTATTTACTTATTTTTGTTTTTGTCACTTGAGACAGGGTCTCACTATGTAGTTCAGGCTTCAGGCTGGCCATGAACTCGCAGTGATCCTCCTGCCTCAGACTCCCAGGTGCTGGAACTGAAGGTGTGCGCCACCATGCCCAGCTTCTTGCCTCTTATTTATTTATTTATTTATTTTGGTACCAGGGATCAAACTCGGGTCCTTGTGCTTGCGCAGCAGGTGGCGAAACCACTGAGCTAAATCCCCAGCCCCTTGCCTCTCTTTTAAACATAAGACCCAGGGTCACACCAGAGCTGAACATTTTAGAGCAACGTTAAACACCCTTGTGATGCTGCAGGCAGGGTGGAGGGCATGCTGGGGGCTAAGCAAGGTACCTCTCAGCGTCCTCCAGCTCCACCTCCATGGGCTCAGACTCTTTCCCTGGAAGACAACTCAGACTCAAATGCTACAAGAGTGCTTCTGTGTCCCTGGCCCATGCAGACAAAGGCCCAGGTGCTGGAATGCCCTGACGGTTGGCCCTGGGGGTGGGTTCCACAATGGCTATTGTTTCAGGAGCCAAATCTGGCCTGCTCCCAGGAGGGGTGGGAGTAACCAGGATGTCAGCAGCCCTTTGGATACCAGAGATCACCTCGACCCTCTTGGAGTTCCCCTGGCCTCCTAATCTCCCCCACATCTCATTTCCCTTGCAACTCAAGGATCTCACTCTTTCCTGGGTTTAGGGGCCCTCGTGCCCCACATCCCCTCCCTGATGGCAGAGGGGCACAGTGAGTGGCACCTGGAGTCAGCATCACACAGAGCTGAGTGTAAATCTGCCACTGCAGCTGTTTTTTAAAAGATAAGAATAATATTGTATCTATCCCGTGTGAAAAGTAAGTTAGGCAGAGTCACACGGGGCTGGACACAGCAGCTGACACCGTGAGTGCACAACAAAGGGTGCGTAGGGTGAGCAGGGGGAACATTGTGCCCCAGGGGTGGGATTGCAAAGGACATCTCTAGGACATTTGACCCCTTGACACAGGGGAAGGCTGGGATCCCCTAACTGCGTTTCCATCCTTCTTTTCCCCTCCACCCTCCTCCTCCTCCTCCCCTTCCCCTTCCTCTCTCTCTCTCTCTCTCTCTCTCTCTCTCTCCCTCTCTCTCTCTTCCACCCTCCTGTAGAGACTTTAAGGATCAGCAGCCAGGAGCCAGTGACTTTCTTCAAATGGAAGACAAAATGTGCCTGACACAGTGCCAGCCTAGAACAATAGGGAATACAGAATGGGGTGAAATACTGTCCATGGGCAGAAGTGTTTGATTCCAACTCTTTTACCTCCTGGGAACCTTCGACTGGAATGCTCGGGAATCCTGATGCAGCCCTCTATGCACCAACTCATTACTCACTTATTTCCCATGTATATTCAGAGGCTTCATAATTGTCAGGTACACCTTCTTATCTGCCCAAGAAAGTCAAGATTAGGCCCTGAGTGGATGTCATTCTCAGCAAAAGCAGAGAAACGCAGTATCTGAGTTGGCCCTGTGCAGTCCAAGCCCGAGAGTACTGTGGTGCTTTCAGGAAAATGTAAATGGTGCAAGGATGCTATTTCTTTGCTTAAAATCTAAACATAAGGGCTGGGGGCGGGGTGGCTCAGTGTTACAGCGCTTGCCTGGCATGCATGAAGCTTAGGTTGAATACCCAGCGCTGGGGGAAAAAAAAAAGAGCCAAGCATAGTGGGACACACCTATAATCCTAGCACTCGGGGAGGCTGAGGCAGGAAGATTGCAAGTTTGACCCCAGCCAGGACAATTTAGTAACTTAGTGACACTTTCTCTCAAAAGAGAGAGAGAGAGAGAGAGAGAGAGAGAGGGAGAGGGAGGGAGGAAGGGGGATGAGAGGGAGGAAGGGAAGGGCCAGGGATGTAGCTCAATGTGAAGATCCTGGGTTCAATCCAAGAAAAGAAAAAATCCTTTTCACTTGGAGGAGCAGGGCAGCTGGGAGCCCAGTGTGGATGTTAACTGCCGTCCATGTCTCCTTCAGACTCTTGACACAATGAAGACTCCCCTGGGTGTGTGGGCACTGGCCCTGGCCTGTGTCCTGCTTCTCTGCCACCTCTCCTCCGTCACGGCGCGGGGCATAAAGCACAGGGTCAAGTGGAGCCGGAAGCCTGCCCCCAGCCCGCCGCAGCAGGTCACCAAGGCCCGAGTGGCCGCGACCCACCCAGGGGCCTTCATCAGGCAGGGCCGCAAGCTGGACATCGACTTCGGAGCCGAGGGCAACCGGTACTATGAGGCCAACTACTGGCAGTTCCCAGACGGCATCCACTATGACGGCTGCTCCGAGGGCAACGTGACCAAGGAGATGCTGGTCACCGGCTGCATCAATGCCACCCAGGCGGCCAACCAGGCCGAGTTCTCCCCGGAGAAGCAGGACAACAAGCTCTACCAGCAGGTCCTGTGGCAGCTGATCAAGGAGCTCTGCTCCATCAAGCACTGTGATTTTTGGTTGGAAAGGGGAGCAGGGTTCCGGGTGGCCATGGACCAGCCAATAATGCTCTGCCTGCTGGTGTTCGTGTGGGTCCTCGTGAAATAAGCTGGAAAGGAGGCTGGTAGCCCCAGCAGTGAGCCGGTGAGCAAGCTGCAGAGTCACCCCAGTTCCCCCGACCCTCACCTGGACCCTGTGTGTGCTGAAGGTACCAAACATCAGCATTTCAAGTATCACCCCCAAGGGTTCCCCCTGGTACTTGTTAGGCCATATTCCCGATGAGGAAACTGAGGCTCAGAGAAGTGAAACACATCACCCAGAGTCACACAGCCAGAAAGTGGCAGAGCTGGGACCCAACCATAGCCGAGCCTCATGTTTCCTGCTCTGCCCCATCCCAGGGCTGTCTCCTGGTCTCTCCATGGCTCGCACGGCCCAGATCCAACCCCGTGTCTCTAGCAAAACAGATTCAGGCATAAATGAAAGGATCTGACCAACTGCTGTGTGCTTTGATATCTTGGTGCGTGGAAGTTTACTTTGATCCATGTAATTACACTCAGATAGAATAAAGAAAGTGATCTAAAATAGAAAGGAGGCGAGGCCAAGGGTCAGAAGTCAGACTAAGGGCACACTGCCAAGCTGGTGCCCGGAGCAGGTGAAACTCGCAGCCAGCACTCCTTAGCAATAGGGTTCTGTTTCACAGAACGGCCAATGCTTGCTGTTCCCCCGCCAGTGATGGTCTGTGTACTAGGAAAAACATCTTGAGTGACATGTTTGCTTCTAGTGTTTCCCTAGCCCTACGTGCATGTTTTTATGTGCATTCACATGACCATTTTTAAAGATGCCTCCCTTCGTGGCGCTCTCCACAATCGCTATCAGTGCTTTTGACACCACTTTGCCTTTGGCAAGGGTTGTCATCTCTGTAAATCACTTCTCACTACAAGAAGATAACTACTTGCCAAAAGGGCTGGAAAGAAATGGTGTCTTCAGGGAGGCCCAATAAAGAATCTTCCTGCCATAAGCAAGAGTTGATACAGCACCTTACTAGTTTCAAAGATGTTAAAAACATGAATCTCTTGGCCAGGGATTTAGCTCAGTGGTTTCGCCGCCTGCCTTGCAAGCACAAGGACCCAAGTTCGATCCCCGGTACCAAAAAAACAAAAAACCAAAAACATGAATCTCTTAAGTAAAACATGAATCTGGTGCTCTAAGATGCCCCCCACACCCTCTGGGGTCCTTGCAGAGACCCCCGGGGCTGTTGAGCTGCTGTGGAGATGGCAGCTGCTGAGCGCGATCAGTTCTCCAGTTAGTAGAATCTGTGCAGAGAGAAATCGTGCGCTCTGGGATAATTTATCTGCTGTTCAGAGCACACATGTTGATGCGGTGCCCTTGTGCTGAGTTCCCACTCCTGCCAGCCCTTCTCAAGGACACACTTGGAAGGTTTTAAGGAGGAAAGGTGGGGGATGTGGACGGGGCAGCCCAGGCAAGCAGCCTCCCACCCTGACAGCATGGAGGACCCTGCGCTCCCCCTCTGCTTCCCCAGCCCCCTTAGTTCTAGACCAGAGTGCAAAGCTTGGGGCTTATGTCCAGCATCCGATTTTTAAAATAATAAGAATGCTAATAAAGAAAGCAAAAAGTACTTAGAGGGTGATGCTGACATTAGAACTGCTGCAAGCTTAATTATAAGGGCATGCACAGCAGCGCCAGCAGGACTTCACTTCCGATAAGTGCCGGATTTTTAAGATACAAGGGGTTTTTTTAGGTAAAAATGCATTAAAACTACAACAGAAATCTAAAACAAAAAATGACTCCCAAGTGAGCATTTAGAGTCTAAATGCTTCCTTCATTCAAGGCTTTTTGTCCATTTTCCTATGATTTTTGGTTTCTTGTTTCCTCAACCCTACCCCCTCCTTCCACCATGGGGTGTAGCCCCCCTTTTAATATACTCAGATTTATTACGCTCAGCTAACTTGTCCCTTTCCATTGCTGTGTGATATTCCACGGTACAGATATACTGTGGTTGATTTAATCATTTCCTTGTTGCTGGACCTTCAGACTGTTCCCAGTTTTTCCCCCCTGCAAACAATAAACACCCTTATATGTATAATCTTGCAATCTGGTGCTTTTATTTCTGCAGAACAGACTTGCACATGAAGAATTTTTGGAGCAAAGCTTGTGACCCAGATATGTTCCCACATAGCTGAAGCAATTCCATTCCCCCCAGCAGCATAAGAATGGCGTTAATTCCAGGGGGCTCCTTTGTCATTTCAGTTGCTTATGCATCTTTCTCCTTTGCAGACAACACATCCAAAGCTTCTTAAGTAACTCTGATCCTAAGGACCATTTGAATCTCCTGAAACTGTTAGCAGTTCCCTTTCTAAACCTGGTTCTTAACATCCACACCAAAATGTCTGGGAGAGAAACGTGACGATCAGGCAGTGAGCCTGTGAACTCCTTGCTCTGGGGCCGCATGTGTGCACAGCTCTATGCTCCTGGCACCCAGGGATGGTAAGGTTTGGCCCTGGCTTTTTGACAAACTTTTAGAAGTTACACATGGAAGTATCTACTTTCCAGAGAGACTGTCCTCCAGATTCTAGGGGTCCCAAGGAGCAGGCATGGAGCCCACTATCAGAGTAGCCCCACTCCCCTGCCCCTGGACTTGGGCAGACGATCAGAACCCACCTGGCCCAGGATGCACCAGACAACAGGAGAACCTCCACCCCGGCACCCAGGGAGGGGTAGCTTGAATTTGGCTGGAGCTGCTCACAGTCCCTCCCGTAAGTTCTCAACAGCCAGTAACTGGCTTTGGGTGGTAGTGGCCACGGAATGAGGGCACCGGGATGCTGCTTCACACCACGGTGTGGTCACAACTCACACCTCTACCACGCTTGTTCTTCACTGCTGAATACGGCTGGACAAGGACATTGAGGCACCATGTGTTTCTGAATAACACATTCTGGAGTCTGCTGGGGCCTCTACTGAAAGGCTGACAGTAGGACCCATGTGCCCACAGGCAGACAGCATGGTGACAGACCACACCTGCCAGGCATGTGATCAGGACCAACTGCACTGGGGTGTCATCATGGTGAGTTCCAGGTCCCCACCAGAAGCCCAGCCACTGCTCTGCTGAAAAGCAGCCCTCTTGACAAGCCAGGCTGGGACAGAGGCATCCATGTGTTTGCCTTCCCTGCCCCATGGCCAGGGTCACAGAGGAATGATGCAAGGCTCTCCTCTTGCCTTGCTGCCAGCCGTAGGCCCATTTCGGTGGCAGTAAAAAAGCCAGGTCCCCACTGGGAATGCAGGACCATGTACAATTGCGTAAGCCTCCCATTCCCTGCACAGTGGGGATAGGACACAAGCACCTGTGTCCTTGAGACACAGGTAAACCCAATCCAGACCATCCAACTTGCTGCAGAGAAGCAGCCCCAGCTATTCCCCTTGGTGAATGGGAGCTCAGGCGCCATCACCTGGGGAGTCAGGAGTTCTCTGCTCTGACCAGGAAAAGCAACAGGAAGGACAGAGACACCCGCCACTGGACCCCAAAACGCTGAGACCTCCCTCACACAGCGAGCCACAGAATCAGGCACTGGGGTTACTCTGGGTTTGAGAGACCTCAAACTGCAATAAGCCCCATGCACTGAGCACACCTCCTCCTCATCTAAAGGGACGTCCCCCAAAACTGCTCATCCCCCAATACTGGAGTGTCACTGTCTCCCCAAGACACCTTCCCTGTACCCCAGACTGAATTTCAGAAACTCCATTCATCCTCCCATCCCCACCTGCCTTTGGGATTCCCCGATCTTATTTCCATGCTAACCCTTTTGTGGAAAAGCATTGCCGACTTAAACAATGCAGATTGTTTCCATTCCAGCGGGCTTGGCTGTGAACTATGGAAGGAAGTTGGCAGGAGGCCAGAGAGGAACTAGAGGAAGCAGGGACAGACAGGGCAGGGCCAGGGAGCTAACACAGTGGGCCTCGCTGGGTGAAGATGGGCAGGGCGGGGGTCGTGGCAGGCAGGGAAGAGACATGGGGAGTGCAGGGGAGACTCACAGGCACGGGCTCCAGGTGATGGGTGCCTCCAGCCGGAGGGTGTTACACACACCTAGGGCATTGGTTCAGCACCAAGGAGAGGGGTTTTCAAGGGGAGCCAGAGCACAGGGGCCACACAGGGTCTGCCTGGGTGGCAGCTGCATCCCTTTTGTTGTGCTGGAATTTCCAAATCTGTAAGCATGGCTTCTATTCTTTTTAAAACTGGCTGTTTTGTCTCAAGGCTGCTTAGCAACCAAGAATGAAATGGGACTGGCGGAATAGCTCAGTGGTAGCTGAGCACCAAGGGGCGGGGAGCTCATGGCATCTCTTAAATGTTATTTATCCTTCCTGTGCCCAAATCAAACCACATCAGCACCTCTGCTGTCCTGGAGGAATAACAGAAGGCAGCAGGAGGCCAAAGATTGATGGATTTTCCTTAGCTTTCAACCCACTGGGAATGGCCAGAAGATAGAGGCCTCCACCCTATCCACCCACCCAACATTAACAGCATTTTCTGGGTTCCCTGGCAGAAGAACAGACTGAAAGATGTTCCTCCTGGAATTTTGCCCCTTATGTGGTCTGAAATCCTGCTCTCTCTCTCTCTCTCTCTCTCTCTCTCTCTCTCTCTCTCTCCCTCTCTCTCTCTCAGCTGGGAGGATGCTGACCTGTATAGAGGGGTGGTTCCAGAAATCCAGCTGTCAGACTCGCACCCAGGGCAGGCCTGGAGCCACCATCTTCTGTCTGTGTCCTTGGCACATGGCTTTCACTTAGAATGACTTTTCCTCTGCACACAGTTGGACTCCTGTGTTCAACACTTAGCTGATGTCCTTTGCCTCCTCTTGGGTGTCCTGTGGGCTCATACGTGCCTTCATTCCACAAGCGCTTACTGAGGTCTTACTGTGTGTCTGTCCACACTACTGACAGTGGGCAACAGAGGCACTGACCTTGCCTTCAGGGTGACACATTCTGGTGGCACAGGTGCCTGTGAGTGTGGTCAGAAGTATACAGTACACCAGTTTATGGAGGTGGGAGTAAAGGAGACAGAAGAGATGTGAAGATCTCTCAGGAGCCTCTCATCGGCTCCAGCACAATTCGCAAGTTAAGTGCTGACCTTGTAGCATTTACACACATTCACCCACTCCTTGAACAATCAACCCTGCTGAGTCCGAACTCAGGTCTTTCAACTGGGCCGGGGCTGCTGATGGACAGAAGCCTGCCCCCCAGCCCCCTCTCAGTCATGCACGACACCTAAGTGGAGACCATGCACCAGGTGGGCTCAGCACAGAGGAGATGGCACATGGGGACACCACCATGGTACAGGGTCACTTAGCAGTAAATACACATTGACTTTCTGTCACGTGCCTGATGTTCCCCTGGGCCCTGACAATACCACCTGCCACCACCTTCGAGGGGCTCACATCCCACGGGGAAATGGATAATGACTATGCAGCAGGGGGAAGTGCTAGACCTGGGATGAGCAGGAACATTTCCAGTCAGGGTCAATCTGAAAGGTTGGATGGGGGCATCCTGTGGAGACATGAGAAAGAGATAGGATCATTGCAAAGATGGAAGTGAGGGGCCTCTAGTGCACTCAAGGCTGTGAGCCTTTCAGTCCAGCGAGGATGTGGTATATTGAGAGGAGGGTGGAAAACAAGAAAGATCCACCTCTGTTGGAGTGGGCCTAAGGTGCTGCATTTCTGTGGAGCGCTCCAGTGAGGCCAGTACTGCTGATCTGAGGACCTCGCTTTGCTTAGCAAGGTTGTAGGTAAGAGGGGAGCGAGGTAGGTGGAGGCTGCGTTCAGTCTCGAATTCCTAAACATGGTGCCGGTCACTGGGCAACACTGGAGGGGAAGGCTAAGCTGAATCTGGAACCTGCTGTTGGAGGTGTCCCCTTGGGACCCCACTTTGTGTCAGTCCCCATGTCCCCACACCTGCCTCACCCCTGCTCCCCCTAAGGGGGACGGTGGAAGCCTAGGATCCCTCCCATCCCGGGACATCTCCTCACGTCTCTGTGCAGCCAACCTGTACAGTGTTACTGGACATAGAAGATTTGGGCAGATTCGTGTTCAGTGACACCACTGTACAGGAGAGGCACTGATTGCACAGACAGCCATTTAGGGACAGAACTTATTTCAGCCGGGCTAGGAAGGGCTGTCCCTGTAGTACAGACTCAAGACCTAAAGGGTGATGGTTTATATTTTTAGATTAAAGTTTACTGAGTTTTAGGAGACAGATGTGTGCAATAATGAGATTCACACACACACACACACACACACACACACACACACACACACACCCCTTAGGACATACTGCTTTGGAGTATCCGGAGCCCAGAGTGTTGGGGAACAACAGAGGCTCGAAGGGAACTGAAGGGTTATTGTGGGAGCTGGGGGAGGGGGACCCAGCTGTCCCTAGGGACATTACAGACAAGACGTGGGCAGCATCCAGTAAACAGTGAAAGAACAGGACAGCAGGGACAGGTCCTCCTCCAAGAGGGAACAACATCCCCAGACGCTGACAGGGCCGGGAGGAGATGATAGCACAACACACAGGCTCAGCCTGGAGAAGCCTGGCAGGGGCAGCAGGGAGGGAGTGGTGAGAAGCGAAACAGCCAATGGGACGCAGCGAACCTGGGGTTCAGGGCTCCCTGCCCCTGGCCGGCCTCTTAGGGAGACATCACTGAGCCTGGGGTGGGGGGAGGTGCCAGCACCCGGCCTGGCCTGGGGGACACAGTGGTGGGGACCACACCCAAGGAGCCCCCAGCAGATCCACAGCGGAGCAGGCTGGAACAATGACCTGGAGTCCTGTGATTTCCCACATGCCTAGGGCCATTGACAAGTGATGGGGATCCAGGGATTCAAAGGTGAGTTTTCCACCCAGTCATTCTGTTTGTGTTACAACCCGAAGGTGAAATGGGGGAAGATATATTAAAAACCCACTCCGCCCGCCTCTGGCCTGCTTCGGGGTGCAAAGTGGTTCAACTACTTTGAAACACCGTTTGCTGATTTCTAATAGTTAAACACATGGCCCCGCCATCCCACTACCTAAGAGGAAGGAAAATAGATGTGCTGAAAA